TGGTCGTAACCCGAAAAGTTCGTTAACAGAGGCGTTCGTAACCCGAGGTACCACTGTACTAAGCTATTTGCAGATTAACGAGTACCTTAAACTATGCTTTAGAAACAAGAGGTAACCAAGTGCTGGTCTTTCAACATGGCATCATGTAATTCCTATGTTGTATACCAGTTAGCAGCCCAAACAGCACATTTCGTACCAACTGAAACTTCTGATCACTTTTCAAGGATAGTCTCATGTGGAACATGCTGCAGTAGTTAAAAGTTACGGGGTAAATAACTGTTGAAACTGACAAAGTGGTACGGGAAATGTTTCATCTATTTTCAAATACCTATGCTATCAAAACATATTTATCTTTATAACTTGCTCTGATAGCTACCTTTTTTCCATTTACCACTGTGGCATTTTTATCGCTTGGAAGCTAATTTCATGTAGAGTGGCATATCTTAACTGTATATTTTTAATAATTTGATTATCTTACTTAACTAACCTTGCACAACGAATCTGACTGTCAGACGCCAGGGATCAGCGAAAACAGTAACAGCACTAACGTTGATAATGGATTTGAAGCTGATCACACTGTTTAGAAGATTGATCGTAATAAGAAGCTAGATTGGACAATTTCTTATATTTCTCACTCCTTTTTCATTATAATTTTTTGCTAACAGGAGTTTCCTTTGCTCTTATACAATAGAATTACATAGATATCATGCTAGCAGGAAGAAAATCATGTTCCCTCTATCTGTGAGACAACAATAATGATCTTCTGCAAGACTCTTGTATTCTGCTGCACAAATATCCAAAAATCACAAACAAAACAGCTGAATAAGCAGCGGTTGAATCCATAACAATACCAGGGTTAAAACCTACATGCATACACACAGAATTACCGATCACATCACAGGTTCAAGTTCAGAATTTTACCAGTAATGGTTGCCAGAAACCACTTATGTCATTAAATGTAAAAAATTTTAATTCACTATATTTTATTTATCAATTATCTCCCAGGAACTAACAACATTTGTGAAAAAATTAAAATGGTTTTACCTTTCTTTAAGTCTTAAGGAATTTATCCTCTATTTTGTATTGGTTTTCAAGAAGCTACTGGATCTGAAAGAAAAGAATAATTTGATTGAAGATTTACAATACTTTTCCCAGTCTTAATTTTTATGTTCTTAAAACATTTAAAACTATATGATTTATTTGCATTAAAAGTCACTATGCAGAGGGAAAGGCTCCCAAGATCAGGCATGAAGATACTTATGTTGGAGTAAATGACCAAAATAATTATTGCAATAATCCTTAATATGGTTTGTTGGTCTTGGCTTAATCTGCTGTGTAAGCCCACTCACTATAGTTTATAAACCACAGTTTATGGCTTACTCTGTTGTATGCACCCAGCCAGTTGTGGTTTACTGAATAAAATATGATTAAACTAGTCTTAGCAGGTGGCAGCACCTGGTTGATATCTGGGTTCAGTAGATATGCACGTATGGGAAACCTCGATAGAATACCAAAACTATACAATAGACTAAGAAATTGAAAAACATTCCAGAGGAAGGTAAGGAGAACCATTAATGTAATATTGACAAGAAAACAACACAGAAAATCATCACGAGTCACCTTTTTTTTACCTTTTTACAGTATATGCTAGCTTATCACTATGTACAAATCAGGCCAAGATCTTTTTCCTCTATTGTGATGCTACTATCCTCTGCTGGCTTTGGTGCTTCCTTGATCATGATATACCTGTCCCAATTATCAAAACTGTTCGTAATGCAATATTTTGAATAGATCAAAGGCCTACTTTGGAAGTATTCAGCACATGATAACCTACAGGATAACTCTTGTCACTGCCAGCATCATTAAAATGATAGCTTCCTGAAAGCATTCATGTGATCAGTATGGATAACTATGGGAAGAAAGACTTTACAGATACATGCTAGTTTCCACATGACCCAGGATTTGCTGATGTGCAGTCAACAGATGCTGTGGTATCTACAAATGTTTTTCTTCTATAGTTCTGTTTCCAGGATTTACTTACATTAAATAATCTTTTTTCTCTTGTAAACTCCATGCAGAATGTATAATTGATTTTATCTGGATGATACTGGTAAGGAACAAGTCTTACTAGGAAGGCTCATTATTATTCAACTAATAATTCAATAACATCTGAATTGAGATTCTAGCCAACAATTTTCTATGGTATCTTAGGCTATCTTAATCTATGAAAGTGATGGAATTAAGGAAAGCAGAGGAATGTTAAGAAGAATAGAGTGTTTTTATATGCATATAAAGATTTCTCTGTTCTTATCGCATCCGTAGAATGCTACCCAGCGGCCCTGTTTAAGATCACTCAATCCGTTTTGGGAAAGGTGGATCCAGTGACCCACCTGCAGGACTGCACAGAGGAGTTTTCAGAGCATCTGGAAGATAAAATTGCTCGGATCTGTCCCCAGTTGGATACCAAGCATGTGGCATGGCCTGTGGAGATACCTGGGGAATGTATTTATCCTGATCCTGTTGAGCCTAAGGAAGTGGCCAGGATCCTCCGGGCTGTACATGCCACCACTTGTCAATTAGATCCTTGTCCCTCCTGCCTGGTTATGACAGCTCAGGAGGTGAATTGTGAGTGGATCCAGGCAATAAATTCATCCTTGAGGGAGGGAGTGTTTCTGGCCCTCAAAGAGGTGCTGGTGCACTCTCCTCTCAAGAAACCGTCACTGGGTCCCCCACTGTACTGGACAATTTTTGTCCAGTCTCCCACCTCTCCTTTCTAGGGAAGGTGGTTGAGAAAGTGGTGGCGTTGCAGCTTCTGAGGATCCTGGATGAAATGGATTATCTGGACCCTTTTCAGTTGGGTTTCAGGCCCAGACATGGGACAGAAACAGCACTGGTCACACTTTTGGATGATCTCTGGCAGGAGCGGGATAGGGGTAGTACATACATCCTTGCTCTTCTTGATCTCTCAGCGACTTCCAATACCATCAACCATGGTATCCTTTTGGGTCGGCTTGGGGTGTTTGGGATGGGCAGCACAGTTTTGTGCTGGTTCACCTCCTTCCTTCAAGGCCAGTCCCAATGGGTTTTGATAGGGAGTGAGAGGTCCAGCCTGTGGCCTCTCCTTTGTGGGGTGCCACAGGGTTCGGTACTTTTTCTGCTCCTTTTTAACATCTACATGAAACCACTGGGTGCGATCATCTGCCACCATGGGATGACGTATCATCTGCTGTCAGGTTCAGCCCAAGAACAACCACGAGGCAATCCAGTACACTTCAGTTCCTTTATTAGCTTGCACATAATAGACAAAATCTCACCAGACTAAACCTATGCTAAAGCAACTAGTGGCTATAACCCATGTGACTCAGGGAGGGGCCAGCCTCATCCTCTTCATTTTCCCACACTCCTGCTGCAGGCTGAGGAGGCTCTTGCCCTGGAATGTCTCTCCCCCCTCCTGACAACCTTGAAGTTCCATTCCAGAATCTTCCCCGCTCATGCCACCAATTCCAATACCCAATTATACATCTCCATCCCGGGTGATTTAAGGGATGGTGTGACCACTCTTTTGCGGTGCCTGGAGGCTATGAGGGTCTGGATGGGGAGCAACAGGCTTCAGCAGAACCCTGCTAAGACAGAGTGGTTGTGGGATGGGGGCTCCTCTGTATCCAGGAATTTACCATCTTTGGTTTTGGATGGGGTTGCACTATCCAGACAGACCCAGTGCGGAATCTGGGGGTCCTCCTGGACTCACGACTCCTGTTTGAGAAGCAGGTAGCAGTTGTGGCCAGGAAGGCCTTTGCTCAACTTCGTGTTGTGTACTAGTTACACCCTTTCCTGGATCAGGAAGCCATCCAGTCACTCATGCCCTAGTCATTTCCTGTATAGACTACTGAAATGCACTCTACATCGGGCTACCCTTGAAGAGTATCCAGAACCTACAGCTGGTTTAGAATGCAGCCACGCAGGCAATTTTGGGTGTTCCAAGGATGGCACATGTAACACCTTTGCTGTGGGAACTGCACTGGATGCCAGTTTGCTTCTGGGTCCAATTCAAGGTATTGATCATTACTTTAAAGCCCTACATGGCATGGGACCATGTTACCTGAGGGACTGTCTCATCCCCATTATATCGACCCATCCCACCTGGTCATCCAGAGAAGGTATGTTGTGGACCCTGTCCACAAAATAACATTGACTAGTGGGGTCTAGGAAGAGAACCTTCTCTGCTGTTGTCTACGTCCTATAGAACACTCTCTGCCCAGAGGTGAGGTGGGCCCCCACTCTCCTGGCCTTCCAGAAATGGGTGAAGACCTAGCTCTGCCAATTTGCGTCAGGCAGGAGGAGAGGTAACCAATCCTGGGAGTGGTTAGCACCCTGAATGGGCTCCCATTGACTAATAACTTTTCATTTACTATCTCTCCCTTGGAATACATTATTTATTTAAGAACACTGTTTTATTGTATTTTAATTAGTATTTATTCTTGCTTTTATTGTAAACCTCCCAGAGTTGCTCTTGAGTGAGATGGGCGGTGACTAAATTTGAAATATAAATAAATGATAAATAAATATAATGAACAAAATATATCCATAGTGAATAGCTAATATAGTTTACATTAAGGGAGATAATATTTTGGTTCTGTTTTCTTTACTGGAGTTACTTAGCTAAGTAATTAAATTCTAAGTACAAATGTCAAAACCTGTAAATTTTACTGAACGTTGTATTTTGCTGCATATTCATATGAACCAAGCTACAAGTCTGCTGGCTAAGAAATCTTGAATTTGTATCTTTCAGAAGTTAATGGTTAGAACAACAATATTTAGCATAAGCCTAAAAATAAATAATCCACTCTTATGAAAACACCTGGCGTTATCCTCATGATCAATGTGAGAATAAGTTATTTATTAAAAGTAACATGTTTAGAAAATGGAAGAAAACTATACATGTAGCTGTTACCTAATTTGAAATTATAGCAAATATTTTAGAAGTAGATAATATGCCAAGGATCTTTATATTTGAAACTGGAACCAACAGTCAGAAGCGATCAACAAAGATGACTACATAATTTGGCCACAATATTCTAAAATTCAACATCTCTTGAAAAGTCAAAGTTGACCTTTGGTTTTCCTAATCAAACAGTAATTAAAAAAAACGAAGATTTATGGATGAGGGTATTTTCTTTAAATATCTCTAAGTGCGTAAGAAATTTTATCAGGGAAATTGTCTTTACTACCACAGTAGCCAATAGCAGAGAAAATTATAGTTTGACTTTTCCGTCTATATATCACAATTTATAATATCTGGTAGATGTACTGAAATACCTCTGTTCAATCAGGTTAGTTCTAAAAAACAATGGGAACTCTGTTAGCCTTATATATTTCAGCCTCAAAGTGGTTCCCTGTTTTGAACAACTCCATCTGCCAAGTTCTTTACAGACTTTGTTTAAATCTCTTCCATTTGGATTAAAAAATGCTTCACTTTGTACTAAGATTTCAACTGCTCTAATGTAGAAAAGGTATACTCTCTCACCCTGTGCATGTGTTTGTGTGTTAAGAAGAACATAAAACTCTCATAGTAATACATCTTGAATCAAATACAAATATTTGTCAAAAATTACTCATATGTTTTTTTCCGTACATATAGCAGTCATCCAACAACTTGCTTTTGTCTGACTAAGTTGGACAATGGTGAAAAAGAAATATACTGTCTTTTAAATTGAGGTTTTAGTGACAAAAGCAAGAAGGGAATTATTTGATTACTTGTATATACCAATGCTTCATTAGTTAAATCAGATAAAACAGCATGTCTTTTGAGATACATAATATTTTAAAACAAACTTGCAACAGGAAAAAAACTGGTTACTTGCTTAAAATATTTTATATACATATATGTATATAAGATAGGAATAACAATCCAAATTGCAATATTTCCTCATCTCTTCCTTTTCATTTACAGTCAAAATCACAGAACAGTATACCAGCGTTTTGCATAGAAAACAACAGAAAACTTGCAAATAAGTTTTGTGGTCATACATTATTGTTATTAAAATAGAAGATTCATATCAGCAAATCTAAAAAAAAAAAGTAAATGTATTACAGCCAATTGATTTATT